TTATTAAATTTATTAATTCATTTGTTTGATCTTTAGTAAGCTAAAAGAAAGAAATTTGCTGTTCATTGATTCTGTTTAAATTCAGTACATATAGTAATGAATAAATCATCAGTAAATTTAACAAATACATCATATATTTGTTCTTTAATTTGATTAGAATCTAAATTCGATTAACAATATAAGACTAAACAAATGAAGAAAGACAAAAAAATAAACGTACTATTGAATGTATTTGAAGATGTAATCGGTATAGAGTTTGTAGTGGCAATTCTTTCCATAAAAATAGTACTAAATCCTTTTTATTTTTGTTCGCTTTCGCTTATGTCTTGGATGTAAAGTGTAGTAGGATTAAAATGCCACAAAAAAGAAAGAATAATGTCTCAATAAAACTACGAACCCGTTTTGTTTTTTTGTTTATGAACATCGCATTGTTCCTTCTTTTTTTTTGTATATAGGAAATTCGTGTGGTTATATTGAGGAGGAAGAATGTGCAAAAAAAGAAAAAAGAAACGACAAAGGAGGGGGACGTTAAGCAATGAAATCGGCCCCTTCTTGAAACCTTGGTTATAGCTATGCACGAGGGGCCAAAAATTTGATATTGTCTATTACCTGGCCAGTCGCGGTATGCGGTGTTTCTATGAAGTATATTGCTTCTGTTTTGAACGTCTTTTAATATCAGTTAAATACCAAATAAAAGCTCATTCTTTTCGCTATCGAATGATATAAGATAGTATGATAAACTATTCTTCTTTCATTGTTTTCTTGAGATGACCTTGTAGACTACTATGTAACATTTTATGAGTATTCATGAGAAAATCCCATTTTATGGTATTAAAGGAATATAGATCCAATTTGAATTAGGTACTAATCGATAGCTCTTTTGAAGCTCTACAAAATGATACTATGATATTGAGTTTAATTTGTGGGAAAGATAGTCAACCTAAAGGCACAATCTTGAACGATGCCAAAAATTGAATTTTTTCGGACATTTCTGATTCATTTTTGCTCGAGCTGTTCGGCTTTGTATTTGAAAAAGTGATATATTTGAAATTAGCATGAAAAACTGAGTCGCTCTATGTATACTAGGAACTGTGCTATCGACTTTCATTTTTTTCGAAAAATTTGGCTCTGGTCCCCCTCAGGGATATCGAAAACAATAAGTATCGCAATAAATCGAGTTTAGATACGAAAATACGGACATAAAATGTTTAAAAGCTAGATAAAGTCAAAATGGCAGCTAGATAAGAGATAAAAACGAGAATTTTGTTGAATTTATTTTTCGGGATATCCCTGACGGAGACCAGGGCCAAATTTTTCGAAAAAAATGAAAGTCGAGAGCGCAGTTCCTAGTATATATAGAACGACTTAGTTTTTCATGCTTATTTCAAATATATCAATTTTTTGGATCTGTATTCCTTTAATACCATAAAATGGGATTTTCTCATGAATACTCATAAAATGTTACATAGTAGTCTACAAGGTCATCTCAAGAAAACAATGAAAGAAGAATAGTTTATCATACTATCTTATATCATTCGATAGCGAAAAGAATGAGCTTTTATTTGGTATTTAACTGATATTAAAAGACGTTCAAAACAGAAACAATATACTTCATAGGAACACCGCATACCGCTACTGGCCAGGTAATAGACAATATCAATATTTTTGGCCCCTCGTGCATAGCTATAAGCAAGAGTATCTGGCTAATTTGAACGTTAATCGACTTTTGACATCTCAATTGACTATTTGGAAAATATAAAACTCAATCTCAAGAAGGGGCCGATTTCATTGCTTAACATCCTCCTCCTTTGTGTATTTTTTGAGATGAATACAGAATATCAGTTACCAGAATCCTGTTAATGTTGTCATCGTTTCGAGCGACTCATAATGAAGAACTAACACTACTATTATCGTTGTCCATATATAATCAAGAAAAAAAAAGGAATAAGATGATGTACACCTTGATCTTCATTCTTCTTCATATCCTAGGTCCATTTTATATGTCGACTTTGGACGATATCATTCGTATGCACTAGTTTTGATGATTGTACATAACAAATACTTATTATTATTATGAAAAATATTTAGAAATAAACTACCTTTTGATTAATCGATCAATGATCATTATGTATTTTAATTTATCAATTAACAATATATTTAACAAAAAAAGTCACTCTTCTATCATATTGATTGCTGATATCATGAGAAAAAAAAGTTTTTCTAACCGAAATTAAAGATTATAGTTAAATATTGTATTGTTTTAAGCGAATTATCTTATAAGTCATATCAACCAGAATATTATTTAAGAAGGATGACCCAAAACGAGTACGGACGAATTTCCAGATACAATACGAAAAAATTCTGGAATAGTTTTCTCTAGACCAAGAGCAAAGAATAACTCTTGTTATCTAATGATCAATTGATTCGCAACCAAAAAGTATGAATGTAAAGAAAATATCGAAGCTTTAAATTTCTTTACAAAATAGGAAATACTTTCTATGACAATGACGATTCGAATATTAAGGTAGAAATATTCTCGATTAACAGCGAATAAGAAATTCTTTATAAAGCAAAAATAGATCTTTTGTTTTTGTTTTTTTTATCAAAGAATTGTTCTTGTTCAAGTATTTTTATTATTTCTCTCGTTGTATCATCTGTTTTCTTTTTTCTTGATGTGCCAAAAAAAATGCGGATTGAACAATGCAAAAAAAGACAAGATATTGATGACAATATTGACACATGAAAAACGATAACAAATTATTTTGTTTTAACCGAATATATCAAGACCACCCATATCATCATCATCTGATTCGGGTTCAGGTTTCTTTTCCGGTTTTGCTGCTGTTTCTTGTTTAGCACTGGCAGCTGGTGCAGCAGTTGTTGGTGCTGGTGCTGATGCGGCAGCAAATTTTGATGGATCTTTTAAGTATTCTTTTAACTAAAAAAAAATAAAAACACATTACTCTAAAGTAAAATGACCAAGACAAAAAAAAAGAAATGTGTTCGTAGAAAAAGAAATTTAACGGACTTCAGAACGCTGTTGGATATGGTTAGTATTCATCAGTTGCTTTATTCAGTAGCAGAACTGGATAAAATATTCATCATTTGTCCGTTTTCTCATAGGTAGGATCGAACCATGATCTAATATCATATTAGACTATTAAACTATATTTTTACTTACAGTTTTAGCTTGTTCGAATTCAACATCAGTATCAGCAGCTAATGCAAGTAGACGTTTAAATCCATTAAGTATAAGATGAGGTGCTGATGCTTGATTTGGATAATTGATACCAAGTGAAAATGCTGCTAAACGTTGAACACCTTGTGAAAATTTTGCACGTAAATCAGCTGGTTTAATATCAAGTATATATGGTTCAAAACATGATCCAGAATCATAAACTATAATTTTCAAAAGTAAAAAATAGACAATAAATTAATTCGAAAATAAAAAAAAAAAATTTTACCTTGACGGATAATAAGACCATAACTAAAAGGTGAAATATTCAACATATTAAGTAATGTTGCTTCACTAGCACCGACTTTTTCACCGATTTTAATTAAATGTACGTCATTCTATAAACAAAATAATTTTATATTTATATATATATTATCTTCATTATGTATCAAATCAGAAATCAAAGATCAGCAAAGATGTACAGATATGCTAGACTTTTAAAATACAATCCTCATTGATCCTTGTTAGTTTCAAAGAACCAGAAACATCAATATTAAAGCGAATTAATTTATTTTTTGGATGAAGAAAAACTATAGATAAAGCTTCATGTATATGTAAAAATAGATGTCGTCTGTCATAACTGCGCTACAATGTCAATACTCTACATTCTTCAAGTATTTAGACTACCAGTCTATACAATGGTCGAGATCGACTTACAATAATTTCAATAGTACCACGTGTAATTTTTGTTGGAATTTGAAGAGCTTGAAAGAAGCTTGTTTTTTCCGGACCTAAACTAGTTACTTGAGCTGGAATAGTAACATCAACTGGAGCAATAGCACCAGCACGAGCTGGAGCAGCAACCTAAACGTATACAAAAAAAAGCAAAGTTTCAATCTAATTTAGAAAAAGAAAATTTTCTTCTGTTCTACCTTATTTTCTAAAATTTTTTCACGAATTGAACTTAAATCTTCTTTTGTAAAAACAAATCCAACATTTTCATATACATGTGGTATTAATTTATCCAAATTAGCATTTTTTGTTACTTGTCCACGGATTGTTTTTCGCATCATTGTATTTTTACCCATGAGAATAACTAATTTAAATCAAAAAAAAAAAGAATTTCGTTTTTACGAAAAAAAATAAAATATTTTATTTTACCAGCATGTCCACGGAGTGACACACGAATTTTTTGCATTTGTCGTGAACCAACATTATCAGCACCAACAACAAATACTTTCGGATATTCATCCAAATATTGCTAAAAAAAAACAAACCAAACAAAAATAATAAAGTAGCTCTCAGATAAATATTATTCTCAATGTTTCCAAAGAAACTCAGAATTGCAGAACACATTTAATAGAAAAAAATTCATCATCATTGAGCTTACCGTTAAACGCATTGTATATTTAGCTTTCCATGTTGAACGATCTTCTTTCACCATTGTTTTTTTGTTTTTTCTATTTTAATATCTAAAAATAAAACCAAGTTATTTTATAGTTTTGTAATTTTGTAATTTGTTCAGAATGAAAATGACGAACACTCGTCGATGTATCGTCCTCCATAGAAATAAATAAACACAACAACTATTTCAGATGAATATTATTTTATTATAACTAGAAAAAAATTTCTAAATTATAATTTATTTTGTAAATATTTTCATTAAAAAATATAAGAAAAGAAAATTTTTTCGAAAAATTTTATTATGTTTTTTTTCTCCGATCGAAATACACAATGAATAAAGGACAAGACTATATTCAAATGGTAGATAAACCAATGAAAAGTTTTTTGTGTGTTCGATTGAATGTGTTATGCCAAATGAATTATGACAAATATGGCACAAATTGAAACAGTCATGTTTGAATCTGTAACAGCTAAAACTAAAAATTTACCATCATTTATTAAACAAGAACGTCCGAAACGAGAATGTCGTTCACGTAAACGTCCATATGATATTGAACAATATTCAACCAAACGTCTTAAATATGATCAAATCGATATTGATGAACAAGATGATAGTCCTTGTACATTTGGTTTAACACTATCGGATACAGATGATGATAATGATACAGAATCAAAATGTTCAACAAGTGATGATACAGAACAATCATCAATAAAACAATATGATGACAATAGTGATATTGAAGAAAATGATGACGATATATCAAATATTTATTTTTCTAAAATATCATCTGATCAACATCGTCATATACCAGTTGTTTTAAATTCAACAACTGTTCCACAACAACAAACATTAAGTCGATATTCAAAAAGATTAATATCACAATTTAAATATTTATATGATCAAGGTTTAAGAAAAGGAATTCAACCAACAAATTCTGGTGAATTTTTTAATAATCAAAATAATGATATTTATCTTGAAAGATTACGTTGGGACTTACGTAATACATTTAATAGAATTGATCTTTTTAAAGAAGGTTATTGTGTTTTATCAAATGAACCATTTTCATTTTATTCACTTTGTTATATGGTAATAATTTTATTTCTTTATTTTTTCATAAATCATACAGACTGTGCCAAGAGTAATTTTACCGAAGAAGAATGCGATTTTTTCAATAAACCCTAGATATATAGATTAGATTTTTTTCTGTGAATATGACCTACGAATATTCTTCTATCAACGATGAAATATCATTTCATTTGATCCATCCTATATTTTAGAATTTATAAACGAGAGCAAGTCCTTCAACAACATGTGCCCAGCTTATTACTAACTGCGATAAATCGACAAATCTTATTCTTGTTGAGATCTGTCGATAAGCTAAGTTTCAATTGGAGAACTTTCTGTGTCAGTATATTGTTCGGATATATAAAAAAAAAAAAGACATTAACTTCATATCAGATATCAAAAATTCTATAAAAAGAAAATTTTTTTTTTTCTTTATAGTGTGGTTCCATGGGTTCGGATTTGATTTATTGTAATTGTTGTTGTGAAGCATATCATCCAAATTGTTTAAATAATTATGAACGTCCTCAATTAAATTCATTATCTGATTCATGGTTATGTCCAAATTGTAATGTATGTAATATATGTGGTTTATTAACACATCAAAATTTTTTATCACGAGTAACAAATGAACAAAATTTATCATCACAATTATTATCTTGTTTTGATTGTAAACGAAATTTTCATATAAAATGTATAAAAAAATTAAAAGATGATCAATTAAATGAATTAAATAATCTAACTAATAATACTAATACAGCTATATCTTTATCACGTTTAACAAATAGTTATTTAATAAATCAAACATGGTTTTGTCCATCATGTATTAAATGTGATTGTGGACAAACATTAATATCAAATGAACGTAATATACTTTCATTAACAAAAACATTTTCATCACAACAATCACTTATGTGTATTGATTGTTTAAATAATATAAAATTAATACGTATACAAAAAAATGATAATATTGAAAAATGTCATCTATGTGAAAAATATATTGAACAAATTTTATTTAAACAAAAACAAATAAATTATTTTTTACAATGTATTAAATGTAAAAATCGTTTTCATCCAAAATGTGATGGATATTTAAATGAAGATGCTGAAATTATACCACATATTAAATATTTATGTTTAAATATGATTTGTTCAAAATGTGATTTAGATGAAAAAGAAAAAATTAAAAAATATCTAATGGAATATAAACTTCAATGTAAGAAAATAGAAATTAATTAATAAGAAAAGAATAGAAAAATTTAATAAAAAAAAGAAAGTCTTGTTCTAATAAATGAACTATATATATCTGGAGGGTTTAGAAAAGAAAAGATGATGAAGAAATGCATGTCATAATTATAATTAATATTTATGTTTTTTTTTAGCTATCAAAACTATACTATCAAATATTTTATCAACATTAAAATTAATAATATTCGACGAAATTCGTCTAAATAAAATTCAATCTTATATATTAAATCTTCAACAATTACATGAATCTCATGATCAATATTTAAATCTTCATATATTTCTTAATGATTTACTTATCATTATTCGACGTCTTCTTACAAACAATGATATATATCGTTGGCAATCAGCTATTGATGGTTGTATTATTCGTCAATGTCCATGGTTTAAATCTTCATCATTATTATCATCATCATCAAATAATAAAACATTAAATCATTTATCATCAACAATAAATTATAATATTCAACCATCACCATCAATAGATCATTCCTATGCTTTAAAAAATGAATATACTTTAAATGATAAATATATTAATTCATTATTAAATTATCTTGATAAAAATCAAACAAATGATGATAATCAATTTAATAATCTTCATCATATTGATACAAGAAAATGTCAAATATGTGAAACATTATCTGATCATATATTATCAAATATTGGTCGTCTTATATCATTTGGTATTAATCAATGGGTACATGTTGGTTGTATATTACCAGCTTATGCTAAAAATTTAGATCAACCACCATATATATTACGTAATATACGTGAAACAGTACAACGTTGTCAAACAAAATATATATGTGCAATATGTTCAAAATTAGGTGCTAGTGTACATTGTAATGAAAATGAATGTTATCAACGTTTTCATTGTGATTGTATACAAAAATATTATTCAACTATTGATAAAAATTTACAAGAACAATTAAATATTAAAAATGGTTATTTACCAAATTTAACAACATTATGTTTAAAACATAATAGATTAAAAACAATCAATAATATTCATCGAGATAGTATAGATGGTATCAATGAAGATGAAACAAAAGAAGTACCAAATAATAGTATGTGATTTACATTAAAAGTTGTAATACAAGTGAGATTCATTGACTGATGAAAAAAAAAGTTTAGTTATGCACATCTCTACTCCGAACGAAAAAATATATCAATCGTTTATAATTGAAATATCAACGAATAATGTGATTTTCACAGTTGCCACAAGATATGAAAAAACTGATTTTAATATTGCTAAGATTAGAAGGGAAACATACATCAGTGATTATGTTCATGTCTAATTAAGTATCTAACAAGAAGAATATTACTTCCTAAATAGGTCACGATATAACAGCGAAGTATTTCAAATCGCTACATATAATAGTGCATAAGATTATTTTCTCATTTAGAATTCTGAAAATATTGTGTATTAAAACTTTAAATTGAGGGTGGGTTGAGTGTTATTGTTTTTTTTTCTTCATTGCACAAGTTTGTTTTTTTCTTTTTTGAAATATACAACGTAGAAGTTAATCTCACTTTTAAAGAGTAGTTCTGCGATTCTAGTCAATGATGATAATTAAAAATTTTAAATAGTACAAAAAGAAAAATGTTTGTCTATATATATATATTTAGATGGTATAAATCTTCCAAAAATAAAATCTGTAAATACATCATCAACTGTATATGGTGATCTATCAAATAATTTAGTTGAATTTGCTTTATATAATACTCGTCTTTGTATTGGTTCATTACAAGTTGAATCATTAGGTAATTTTGATTATCAAATTGATAAAACTGATGAAAATTATATTTCAAATAAACATTATCCAAATGATTATCGTGCATCACGTTTATTTTGGAGTATGAAAAATCCACAACAAAAAACTGTTTATCATTTACATATTAAAGTTGAACAAACATATCATAATAAAGAATCAAATCATAAAATAATTGAACATCCAATGACAGATAAACAAATTCATATTGAACAATTATATGATTTATGTCGACAATATTTTGATAAATTTCAAAAAAAAATTGATGAACATTCAAATTATATTGAAGAATTTTGTCAACGAACTTCAATTCATAAAAAAATTATATCAAATCAAACAAATTATAAGAAAAAAACAACTAATAGTAATTAAATTTATCGATTTTTTTTTTAAATTTATTTTATTATTTATTTTCTTCATCTAGCTGGTAATGCTCTAACAAAACGATTAACAAAAGAAACTCCATCATGTGTTAAACGTCAAACACCAAAATCAGCATTAAAAAATGTTTCACGACCACGAAATAGATTTGCTAATGATAAACAATCACAAATATCATTAACAACAACAACAAAACAAAATTTATTAAAAGATAATTTAATTTCAATAAAAGATTATAAAACAAATGATATACAACATTTATTTCATGATGAATTTTTAAAAACAACTAATGTTTCACAATTTGCTCTTGCACTTGTACAAGCACTTAGACATGTTGGACAATCAACAAAAATGTATAATAGAAAATAAAACACTTTTTTTTTTCTCGATTGATTATTTGTTTTGCTATTTTAGACAACCACAAGAATCAAACTTGAATTATCATTTATTAAATAATTCATCAAATGGAATAACAACAGAAAAAAATAATGATCTTCTTTTAAAACAATTATTAAGAAATATGACTGTACCACAACAAATGAATGGTATTGACCGTTTTTTTTTGCATAGAAAAGGCAACTAGAAGATTTTAATTGTAACACAGAATAAACGAAGACTTTTAGAATCAAATTTTCTTCATCAAATGATGTATGTATTATTAACTTCTATTGCGTATCGTTGACCTATCGATAGATAACGCCATCTATTGACAGACCTACGGCAAGCAGTAGAACTTAATAATACATTCATCATTTGATAAAAGTAAATTTAGAATACTGAATTGTTATGTCAGTGTTTGTGCTTCTTGGAGTTCTGTTCTCCAAGCAATATAAAGACATTTGATTATGATTCAAATGAATTTTTGAACGCATAACCGTACCATGGAGCATATGCCTGTGCTACGATATCCTTAATTCTGTGACTTTTCAGAACATAGCTTTCAGCAAATACCGACAGTCAGTACTGCAAAATTGAAAGAGGAAATTTGAATAAAACACTCCATTATATTATTAATAAAACTTATTTACATGAAAATATAAATGTAATTTAACAGATAATTCAGTAAGAATGTGACACTTATATTTCTTTTGAGCAGCTCAGACATTGTTAAGAGACTTTGTGTTTATATAATTCAATTATTTAATTATAATCTCCTATTTTTTGACAGACACCCATGGATTTGTGTCATACTGCGCTCATCAAATCTGATATTCAAAGTAAAGCATCAATACATAGAGAATTTTTTATTCTATCTTTTCATCATATTTCTGAGGATTCCTGGGATGTTATTCAGAAGTAAATTCTGATATAAATTTCAAATTAATCAAAGAAAATCGTTACGGACTTTTCTAATTACAAAACCAACCATGACATAGGCGAATCAGAGAAGGGTCTAGTCTTTCAATAATATTTGTGCTGCTTAAGAAAAGAACTAAAAAAAAGAAGTGTTTCATATTTTTATGGGCCACTCATTAGACTGACTCTAGACATAATCGTATTATCAAAAGATGTTCTAGTGAAGCTAAAAGAGTAAAAGAAATTTTACTAATATTCTTTCGCATAAATATAAAGACTTGACGTACTCATTAAAGAGAAGTAATAAGAACTTTAATATTGACAAAAGTTTGAATGTCATGTCTTAGCTAGAAACTGGCTTATGTTATAAAACTCTTCATGCAACAGAAGATTTCCTCTGAAGAAACAATACGCCCAATCTAATAGAAATACTTCCTTTCACTAATTAATATATATTTTATATCAAAACATACGTAGTTTTCAAGACTTTTTGACCTAAAAGAAATGTTAAACATGTTAGGTCAACATTATTTTATGAGTTTCTTTCGAAATTCTCTAAATCAGTCTGGTTTTTCTTTGAAGAACTGTTTTAATTAAAAATCAAGAAAATAAATGAGACATAATAAAAAATTGACGAATCACTAACGAATGAATTATGCTTTTGTTATTCTCACTGAATCTACCTGTAGTAATTTACTTGAATTAAATCTTTGCTTATTTGTACGTCATATGAACTCTATTAAGATTCTCAAATATCAGCAATGAATTCTTCGCAATTGTCTTCCTGTACATCTCAATGGCGTTCAAGTATATCTACTCAAACTGAAACTATATCACTATCAAAATCATATGATAATTCTCAACGTAAGATTTATTTCTTAATTTGACATATTTACAATATATATATTTCCTTTTGCCTATGATAGATTCCTATTCATCTTTCAATGATACAATACCTTTAGTTCATACAACTGATAAGAGTTCTCATTTACTATCTAAATCAACATGTATCCCACAAGTAGATGGGTCAATCGATGATGATAATGATGATGTTGATTTCCATATATCTTCTATTGTAATGAATTCTTTAATTGAACAGATTATTGATAAAACAAATTCTGAACGTTTTTATACGAACAGTGAATATTCAATAGATTTATCAGATTATGTTAATTCACCATCATTAGGTAATTTTACTCCAATATTACCTACAAATCGTAATCATCAAATAAAAAATTCTGAAAAGAAAAAATCTATATCATCCGATGATCTTATTCAATTATATAAACAATGGTCAAAATCAAATTTTTCTCGTGTGAAATTTACAATAACAAATGATGAAGGATATGAAATCATATCCGATGATTTAGATTCAGCATGGTCAATAATTATTAATTTAATACGTAATTGTCGTGATGATATGAATTTACAACATTTATCAATGACAAATGAAGAATTAAATGGACATAAAGTATTTGGTTTAACAAAACCTATTATTCAAATAATGCTTAATCAAATGTATACAAATCAACAACAAATTGGAACAATTATATTACCATTGTCATCATCATCATCATCAAATAATAATTACAATAATTCTACATGTTCAATAGAAAATTTTAATAAAAAAAAAAATTTATTATCATGTTCAAGATCAAATATATACGAAAGAAAAACTCGTGAACGTCAAAGATTTGGTTGGTTATTAAATCAAAGTAGAAAAATTGAATATGCACTTAACTCATTTGAAATTGATAATGCACTTGCATATGCAAGGTAAGTTTTCTTTTTTATTAATTTTTTTGTGAAATACAACGTGACCGACATCTTAGCAATACTCTCTCCCTTTCCACATGACAAATGGTCATATTTAATCACATATTATAAGTGGGTGGAAAAAAAAATGTTTAACAACAACATGTTTGTGTTTTAAATACTTAGGTCAATGCCATCTTTACAAAGCAAGAAAAAATGAGAGGTTGCTGTATTTTCTATGACCTTTCCTTAAAAAAGTTAAAAGTATCACGAAACATGTTTTTTTAATCAATTTTTGGATAAATTAGATTTTTTTCTACTCTATAAACTACTAACGTATTTCAGTTCTGGAGGATGAAGTAAATGAATGGTAAAAGAATGTATCCTAAAATAGATAGAATAAAACGACTTCGTGTGATGAACAACAGCAAGTATGTTGTGTTTCACATTTTAATTCCCCCACGTATTGCACTAATTGCTTTTCATATTAAATTTTAATTGTTGAGTTTGTTTTTTTTTGTTTTGCTTTTTCTATTAGACGAATTATTCTTGAAGAAGCTTCTGTTAGTTTACGTCTTTATCATTTACATTATTTTTCTGAACGTGCTTTACTTGTTGGTTCATCACCTATACATGGTTGTGGTTTATTTACATTAGTTGATTTAATTGAAGGACAAATGATTATTGAATATACAGGTGAAGTTGTTCGACCATGTCTTACAGATAAACGTGAACGTGAAAATGAAGGAAAAGTAAGAAAATAAAAAGCAAACAAAAAAAAAAAAGAAACAAAAGTATCAATGATATTTATTAAGGGTTTTGGTTGTTATATGTTTACGGTTGATGCAATGAATGTTATTGATGCTACGCATCGTGGAAATAAAGCTCGATTTATTAATCATAATTGTGAGGTAAGTTTTTCAAATAAAAAGAAATATATACAATTTTATAAAAATGATTCTTTTTGTTTTTTTTTGTTTTAGCCAAATTGTTTTGCTAAAACTGTTTTATCAGGTGGTATTAAGCATATTGTTATTTATGCATTAATGGATATACCTCGTGGATCAGAATTAACATATGATTATTCGTTTCCGGAAGAAGATATTAAAATTCCTTGTCATTGTGGTACAAGCAAATGTCGAATTTATTTAAACTGATGCGATCTATTTGTATATACATTTATGTTTATCATTACTAGTCAATACTTCTTTCTCTCTTGTTCTTCTCTCAGATTTGCTTTCTTTGTACGTTGATTTACATTATGTAAGAGTGTATTTTTTTGTTCTTTTTTTTTTTTTTTGATATATGTATTATAGAAATAGATAAGCAAATAAGAGGTTATTAATTAAAATGATGATTAATTTTATGTAGGTCAATCTAGTGCTATTATCAGCATTGATTGTCACAGAAATTTTAAAAAAACAAAAGTCTTCATGATCTCAAGTCATTCTCGTGCATATCTATAATTAGAACTAACATACTTAAGAACAAAGCAATCATAAGTTCTTTTGTTTTGATCTATAATAAGCTACCAGTCATTTTTTTATAAATATAATGAGCAACTAATTGACATTATCTGCGTTGATGACTTCTCTTGACAAGCTTTGAAAACAAAACAATAGGATGAAAAAGAATGGACTGGATTAGTATGCTTAATAACATCATTATAAATCAATAATTTTAGACTTTGTAACCATTCAGAATGTACCGAATATGTTTATTTACTGACGTAAACATATTAGAAATCATGGAGGACGACATTTGAAATTATTGTATATGCGAAAAGATTATCATTTAAAATATCTTGAAAATTTAATAAATTTTGCCTTCTATTTTTCACTCTAAGCTATTCATTTGAGAATATACGAGGAAATATAAATTCTCATAATGTCGTTTAATAATATATTTGATATTCATTATCAGGTTACAATAGAAGTTTTCTAATACAAAAAGAGAGTTCACTAATACATGACATAATTCATTTCTCTAGATTATAATCAAATAAGAAAACAACATTTCTTCCCAATAGAATTCAAATATTCATGATTTTTTCGTATTGAAACTGAATTCAACTAAAGCAAAACAAACAAAAATAAACAACATACATGTCGATTTGGAAAATTGATATGTCCTCAAAGTATTTTACCTTAGTGTTTAACGAGATTTTTTTTCGTCCAAAGCCATAAATAAAAAGTTCGACAAGGCAAAGATCTACTTTTCGCAGTATAGACACATAGTAGTACGTGATATAATAATCACAAACTTCGGATACACGCCATCCTCATGCTAGACAAATAAATTAGATTATTCCACTATCCAAAAAAACTCTACTGAGTGGCTTTATATTTCATTCATCACACATATTTGAGTCTATGTTCATTTGAAACTTCAAGAAATGTCCTTTTTCTTTTTAACTATCATTATTCTCACCTCAATGTAACATCTGTTGAAGCCATATTAGGAAAAAAACTAAATAAATTCTAGAGAAAAATTATCAAATGAATTTCTTTTTTTTTTTGTTGAATTATCACACACTCAATAATAACATTTTGATGATTTCTATTTTAGGAAACTTTTTTGTTGTATATATTTTATAGTCTAGTTATTAAATTTAAAATTCATAATTAAATTACGAATACACAGAGATTTTTATTTTCAATGTTCTAAATGTTTCTCTTGTTTTCTAATTATTGATAATTTATTATAAACAGAAGTTTAAGTTTTATTAATCAATTTGAAATTTAATACAATAAGCAACCAAATATTAACAATATGTTATCAATACTGATTGAATTATAACTAAACCATATTGATTATAATATATATATATATATAAATTTTTATTATCGAAATTGTACTCGAAAAATATTTTTTTAAGTCAAAAAATGATTCATAAATGTTTTGATCGTTCATATAATACTATTTTCGATAAATTCAATTGTTAATTCAATATATTATTATTGAATTATTATTTATATTTACAAGAATAAATAAGTATATGATACATAGTTTTGAAAAGACTCTTTGTCCTTGTTTTTCTTTTTTGTTCTATTTCTATAAACTTCACAGATGGAATATGAAAAACACTGTAAAAAAAATAAATAAATAACTTTGTTTAAGTGCATTGAAAGAATTTCATGGCATATGTCAAATAATTTCCTAACCATGTTGTAACCCTGGACATTATTATATAGATTGCATATGATTTTTTTTCTTGTTGTCTCATTTTTCTAGAAAAAAAAGACATTTGCTAGCTTCCTTTTGACAATCTACGTCGCGTAATGATCATACTGATGAGAAGAAAAACGAGCATGAACATTTCTTTTTCCTAACTAGAAATAAGAATAAAAGGAAGAAGAAAAAAGCCTATTAAACATTGCTCACATATATTCGTTCAACTATGCATTCACTGTAAGTTTGATTATATTCTTCACATATAGACTAGATCTTTCTGCCGCTTGAAAGAATTTTTTTTCCTCAAAGACCGACTGAAGAAGAAAAAAGAAAAAAGAATGTTCTATTCTATATGAATACAAAGAAGAACGATAACAAATGACGATGTTGAACGTAATACTAAAGAAAAATGCTTATAGTAGTTTGACTCCACTTTGATAATGACAACAGCAAGCACTGAAGAATTCTCTCTCTTTTTTTTCTTCTCATTTCTCTTTTTACTCTTATTCCATTCACATAAATAAATAAATATCTATATATATATATATCTCCTCTTTTATTCACAACTCATTTCTATATTTGAGTTTTGCAGAAACGATTATAATCGATATAGAACAATATAACAAAAATATAATCGAAACATTTTTCAGATGGCACCTCACATATCTTTCATAGCCTCTGGATTATTATTAGTTATCTTTACTATTGTTGTTCAATCGGTTCCTATTGACAAAACTAAAGACAGTAAGTTCAGTTTTGTTTTTTTTTATAAGTGTCTAATTTAATTTTTTATACAACAATACATTTAATGTTCATAGTCGCTCAACCATCTTCGATAAAAAATAAACAGGTTGTCAATCATCATCTTCACAAATTTATTCATGCAGTAGAAACTACATCAAGCTCGACTGGTACTACAACAAATCCAACAACTACCGTTTCTCAAAGCTCTTTATCAACATCAACAGTAACACCAGAAATAACTAATAAAAAAAAGAAACGTTATATTGATGATGATGACAATGATGCATTGAGTCAACTTTTAGATAGTGAAAATTATGAAAGTGATGAATTAGATTCTTCTCAATTACCTTATTTTAAACATGAAAATATTGATAATAACATTGGTCATAAATTGTATGCTAAAGTAGAAGAAACAGCAGCTACAATTCATGACAATGCAGATAGTAAGTTTTATTTTGATTAATTTTTTTTTCTAATGTCATATATACATCCCTTTATTTTTTTTTAGAACCAGTCGATACAGATGATTCAAAAACCTTTTCTGATATTATGATGACTCCAAGTGAATTAACAGATATTGTACGTCGACGTCGTGATGTTAAATTGAATGATGAATTAAATACAAGACGTAAACGAGCTATATCACCATATAGTTTTTATGATACTGATTCGGTACTGTATTGTTTACTAAGAAATTCTTTTTCTAGTTTATATTTAGTTTAATAAATAATAGAGTTCATATTGTTCTGAATGGTATAATCGGAAACAAAGAGTCTTATACTTATTCTTTGATTGTTGGTTCAGTTCGTGTGTTATGAGAAAAAAACTACTGCGCATAAATATTACTATTAGTGTATCTAATTTCCATTTGACCCTAATATTTGTTGAATATAAGCTGTGTCAAAAGAGTAGATGAGAAACATAAACAATCTTTTCATTTTAATGTGCTTTTTTTTGTGATAACGTAATATTTTACAATAGGTCTGTTTTTTTTTATATTTTATTTTAGTTGTATGATCCATATGTTGATATGATCGATGGATATCCATATGTTCGTCCGACTCGTTCATTTGCGTAAAGATTTCTAATTTTATTTAATATTTTAATATAAAGTTTTTTTTACTCTTTTTATTAGTCCTCTCTATTGGTATCCAAGTGTCTATCAACGAAATATTCGTTCAGCTCTTGCGCCATCATTCTATGAATCATCAGAGTATCCAACATTATATTCAACGACTATCGATAATAATAATGATGATGATGATGACAGCCCAGGTAAACACTTGAATTTTTTCGAATAATTTATTTTTACTTTATTTATTTAGTTCCAATATTTAATGATGATATTGAAGATAACAATGAATTTGAAACAAATCGTTATCCTATTTTATTACAAGTATCTAATAATCCATTAGATGATATAGAATTACCAGAACAATACAATGAAGATGTTTTACCGATTGATGAAGATATTGAAGAAATTTTTAATGAAAGTGACATGGATGATAGCAATGATGATGATAATAATGATGACGATGATGATGATGATGATGATGATGAAAATGATAATGAAGCACAATATCGTTTAATTTTTCAAAGAAAACGCCCATATTATGTAATGTTTAATGAGTTAAATTTTTAAATAGATTATAATTTTTCCTTTCTAGGCTAGTTATGGACCTTTTGAGACGTATTTTTGATTGAGAAAGTGACATACAGTAAGTCAATTATTTCTAATAATTATTTTTTTAATTGAAAATTGTTTTTTTTTTCTTTTTAGAATAATAAATGGTGAACGATACAAGCAGTTCTTTACATACACAAAAAAAAAACTAAAACATAAATGAAAAATACAAGAAAAAAAAAGAAATCGAGAAAAAAAAGATATCTAACTCATTTATTGTCTCACTAAATGTTTTGATGATAAGACATCTAATAATTTTATTTTTCTTGTCACAAAAAACAGAAAGATCAATCTCCTCGTTATTTCTTCATTTCTTTTTCTCACGTTTTTATTTCTTGCCATTCATATTGCTAAGATATTGATCATTATTGATACACATTTGATGAGAGAGTGAAATTTGAAGACCTTGTTTTTACGTTCATACTATTTTGCTCTGGGTATTTTTTCTGTTGTTAGGCAAGAAAAAAAAGAAAATCAAAATTGATTATTCACAGGACCATGAATGAAACAGTTGATAGCATTTCAATACCAGCTATATGCCATAATTGTCAGACAAGTTATGGTTTGAGTTCAGCTGATCGACGTTCTATCATTGTTATGGTTGTTCTTACTGGTGTGGCATTAATATTATGTTATATAGGTGTACTATGGTTTGCTATTCGTACACGTTTTATTCCCGATGAAGAATCGCTCATTGCGCTGGAGCATATGCATAAAAATCTGGCGTTTAATGATGATGTAAAAAATGAGGATAAAGAGGAAAATGTACAGAGTATGGTTAATACAACAGCAGTGACGACAGCATCACAACCAGCTCTGATTGAATTGGAAAACCAGAACGAGCGATTTTGAAAAAAATGACAGTCTTTTTTTTCATCATTTTTATGATAGATAAGCACAATTGTTTTCATCAACAAGGTGTTTGTTTTGACGAAGTAAATAGGACAAAATCGGAACTCACTTAAACGTTTGTTTTTTTTTTGAAAATAAAAAGAAAAATATTCCATTTCAAACGTGAAGTGTTCTTGGAGATCACTTATATTGATAGAGATTTCTGAATGCATGACTTTTTATAACGAAGTAATATTTATTACGCATTAAGATTTGCTCATAGAGTCAAAGTTGTCAATTATATATGTTAAACTAAGTTTTATCTTAAGGGGTAGATTAGGAATTGTTATAATTACTGTTACTAACGAGTGACTATGTCTAACTATTAATCCTCGAGCAAAATGTTATGCTGCTTGTAAGTAGAACTCAGTGCGACTAGAAAAAGCGTGAAAGAATTACTACTCCTCCCAAGACTTTCTTTGTAGATTTATGATCGTTTTATCAGATTTTCGACTTGAATATGTCCTGAAAGTTTCAGTTAAGATGGATAGTTTTTTCGTGAAATATTCAATATTCAAAAAAGAACAATCATATACAACAAAAAAAAATCATAAAACCAATTATCTATTTATGCAGAAAAATCTACATAGGAGTTCTTCCTTTTTGATTTTTCTATGTATACCTTGCCATAAGCCAAAAATCCAATTAAGGAAGGTCTATGGAAAGAACTTCTTTCAAGCTTTTTCTAGTCTCACTAAGTTCTACTGATAAGCAAAACATCACTTCGATCTCCAATGAACAATTGGATATGTTATTTCATTTGTCATTGATCAGCATATGTTCTTTGTTTAATTATGCGTAGGAAAAACATACAAAAATACTCAAATTTGAAATATCACTATATGTCTTGTTACGTTTGAGAGAATCGTACAAAGTTATTCATCACTTTTGACCTCATATTTTTGGTATGTAGAGAAAACATCTAGACTAAAATAAGTGTATAACTGACTACTTTTTAATCAGAGGCAGTACTCATTAACTAATAGAGAGGTCTATATTCGATGAAAGTAATACTATAATTATATATAAGTACTAGTTCTTCTGTAGACAAGGCGTGCGATCCCAAATCATTCTGTTTTTGTTGCTATTTTAATCAACAAGTCCTCTATAAATGCCAAAAAAAATTGCGGTCAAAAATAATGGATAATTTTTCGCCGTTTTCGTGTCATTATGCACTTTGACATACTTTTAGCCATCCATAGTAGAGTTTTATTTAAGAAAAACTACAATATATCTTTTTTTTCTGCCACTTGTTATCATGGAATAAAAGCTGATGTTTCAAAAATTTTCATTTAATTATTTAAACTAAACGGTTCGTCAAGTCTTTCTTTTATAGTATGAATTGATGTTGACACATGCGAGATCTTTCTACTGATATGACGTCGATTATCAAGTTCTAATCTATATAATTCTTTATTTTCTGTATTGTTACTAAAATAATAATATATGATAATTGCACATAGAAAAAAAAATACCAACAAAAATGCACTAGTAATAATAATAATTAATATTAACTCTTGTCCAAAATTATTATCATTAAGATCAACAAGACCAATTTGTTTTGTAGTTGACATCTTAAATAAATAAAAAAATCGAAATGGTTTCTTTCAAATGCGCCAATATTCATTGATTATTATTCATACAAACAATGCAAAACAGTAAATTAATGAAAAATATTCATAATAACAAAACAAAAAATATTCTATTTTCAATTAAAAATTCAACTCAAAACTTCATCAATTTATTTGCACGAAAAAGTAAGAATAAATACAAAAAAAACCTAAAATCAAAGATTGATTATAAAATGAATATTTTATACTTTTCGATGTCATATAATAAGATGATAATTCAATACGTGATGTTGATGTTGTTCCAGTATTTGAACATAAAACTAATGTTGTTGGTGAATTTGCTTGATAACCACAATTTTGTAAATAACCATAAATTATTTGTGTACGATTTAATAATTGTGTTTCAGCTGTTTGACTTCGACGTGCTGAATTTATAGTTGGTTGTAAACCAAGTAAAGTAAAAAATGTTACAATTAAAGCAAGAAGTAATAATCCAAGTAATATTAATCCCCATAATGGACAACCATAAAACCATTCACAACAACTACATGAACTATTTGGTAAATCACAACGTCCTTTACACCAATTACAATAATAATAATGACGATATTTATAATCAGATTTATAAACTTTTCGTTTTCCAAAATCAAGATCCGATGAATAATAACCACTATGAGTACGTGTACGACGAACATGATGAATAAAACGACGTTCAGGTACAATTGTTGTTGGTGGATCATTAATAATTGTTGTTTGAATAGGTGGTCGTGGTGGTAAAATAGTATGTTGTTTTATAATATGAGGTCGTGGTGTAATTGTTGAATTGGTTGTATAAGAACTTGTTGTATATGAACCTGTTGAACTAGTTGTATAAGTTGAAAATGTTGATGGTGAGTTTGTTCGTATACGTCGACGTCGATGCGTACGATATGTTGGCCTTTCACGAATGGTTGTTGTTTCAACAGCTGGTACAACTGCTGTTGTTGTTGTTGCTATTTGAGGTTGAGGCACAGTTGTAACTGATGATGTAACTACTGCTGGTGCTGTTGGAATTTCTATAGGTTTAATAATTGTTGTTGTTGTTTTTGTTTCTTCAATAAAAGAATCCTCAGCAAGTGTTGGTAAAGTTTTTGCATCTAAAATTCGAGTAGTCGTTTTTGTTGTTGTTGAAGCATTTGTTTGAGGTTGTTGTTGAACAGTTACTTCTGATGTTGTTGTTGTTGTTGTAGGATGAATTGATGGTGATGGTGTTCGATAACGAACAGTTGGTACCGCTTGTTGACCTCTCATGTCATATGCTGTTGGATAATATACAGTTTGATTTTTAGGGAAAGTATCAAAAAAAGAAGCTGGTGGTGGTGTTGTTCCACGACTTGTAGTATCTTTGATAATAACACTTTTTGTTGTTACTTCTTTTTCAGAAGACTTTACGGGTAGTGATGCCGCTGGTGGTGGTGGTGGTGGAGATTGTTGAACACGAGAAACTCGTTTAACACGAAACATACGTGGACTACCACGACTAATGATTGGTGGTGAAGGATCACGATTTAATGAAGGACTTTCAACAATTGAATATGTATTCTCAAAACAAAAATAAAGAAATGAAAAAAAACATTAATGAATAATTATGTTATCTATCATACAGTTTTATATGGATAAGATTCAGTTGATTGTAATTGATTATTAGCATTTTGAGATTGATCATTATTATTAAATATAATGGGAGTACGTTGTATATTTTGAGCTTGTCGTCGTTTTTGAGCTTCTGTTGGATCCAAACGAATTGTTGTTTTAGTCATACGACTTTCACTAAAATTATTTGATATCGGCATCTTAATTGATGTCGTCTGTGTCAATTCTTCAATTTTTTTATGTAAGTTGAATAAAATATGAAAAAATTTGTTACTCAACACTTCTTAATCAGTAGGTGGTCTTTTGTTGATCTTCGTGATACAAAAAAGAAAAAAATAAAATAAAATAAAATCATTCTTTTTCTTATTTTTAGAAAATGTATTCTTTCATCAGCAACGTATTCGACGTAATGTTATATTTACAACAACATCAATATGGGATCCATTTGATATAAATGAAGAAGAAAACGCATTGTATGAACAAGAAAGAGATAGTCATGGAATGTCATTAAAAAATATTTTTTTAATATGTGGATCTTGTTGTATAGTATTATTAATTATACTTGCTTTTTCAATGTATACAACACGAGAACGTATTCACAATGAGAAAAGAATAATTCAAATAAAAAGGAATTCATCAATGGTAAGCGATGCTAAGTCATCTCATAGTTCAAATAAATCAACAGATTAAGCCATCTACTTTTTTCTTTCTGTGGAATTTCTCTGCTTCTTGTGTTATATATTCATTTTTTGAAATAAAATAGAGATAAGGGATTGAGAATATCTCGAAGATCGTATAGTTCTATTACATTATATTCAAAGTTACTTTTCACGGCTTAGTGTTCTATGCTTCATCAAATTATACTCTTAACATTATGCATTACCGTTTGTATCTGTTTTTGTTACATACATATACTCAGCTTGATTTCCTTAGTCATTAGTGCTTATGTCTGATCATGTCAACACGCCTAATTTTATCATTGAACTATCAGGTTGCACTTTTGCACTATGATTTTGTCTTATTGTCTTTAAATTTTTATAATTGCAATATAATGTTACATATCTATATCTAAATCTATGCATACTTACTCTATAAAGATTTCTTCCCTTTGTACATTTATATATTTGTGTGTAACGTGATAAATATATCTCTGCTGTTATGTTTAGACAAAATTTAGTGAATATGATCTTTCTTGAAATTATATGTGTCATGGATGAGAGAACCTATCTCATCTTACATATTTAAGCTAATATCACAAAAGATGTGGTTGTACGTTCCATGTTTCCTGATTCTTGTATGATTATCACTTGAATGTTATCAAAGAATCATTTAAGATCTAGCAATAATACTAAGAGTACAGCTTAAATTGATACTCTGGTAGGATTATCTGAAAAATCTTATTGAATCTAATGTCTGATTTTTTTCTTCGTAGACTGTTATTGAAACCAGTTGTCTAGAATCACAAACAATTGCTTTTATAATATTAGACATGTTCAATGCTGATTGTGAAGTTTTTAAATCATATGTTTTCTTTTGATAATTAAGTCCAAAAACTATAGATGCTCCTTCATTTTCATATACAAGTATGAGGTATATTTCTATACATCTGAATCTATGTATCTTATTCTGAGTGCCTACTATTGCTACCCTGCTAGTAAGTTACATACAATTTAGCGTCAGAAAAAATCTGTACAGCATGCAGAGTGTAGAACGGCGGCTATGAATATGAGTGTTCTCTTCAAGCTCAATCTTATATTATAAGGCTATCACCTTCATACTTTTCTGTAACTTTAAGAAGTCTCAGTAATTGATTGTCAAGAAGTCGAAAAATCCACTTGTATAAGCCATCTAGAGTTTCGTGTGAAACACAAGATTATCTGGACAGTGATACATATAAAAAAAAAGCAATTACTCTCTTTCGAACTGTGCATAAAATTTTGGTCCAAAGTGTCCTGTGAAAATAGATGGCACTATTTACAGTGCTGTCGTTAGGGTGTCTCCTTAGAATCGTGACATTGAATGGCAGACGCGAGATAGCATGAGAGTTTTTCTACTGTTTATCTTCTTCATTAAAAATAAATTTCTTGTGTTTCTTTGCCGATGATTAAGTGGTAACCAGAAGCTATGTCAAGAGATGAAAATTAACCCTTTTGGTCTACATTCATACTTAATAAGTAAAAAAATAGATATTTATTAAGTACAAACAGTATTAAAAAAATGTATAAAATATATAAAATTGTTCTGTTTATGCAATAGATCAACTATGTCTGGTCAAAACGTGAGAAAATACAAATGATTTTCGATGAAAATTTTCTATTTGTTCAAAACAATCACTAGGATAAAGCCGTCTACTATAAGAAATTTAACTTATGTTTCCAGTTACCTATCTACTGACCTAAGTGGTAACCAACACTAATTACATTTCTTAATTCAATTTTAATTCATTGTGCCTATTTCAAACCAAAACTCATGATAAAAATTTAAAATATTCATGAATCTATGCATGCATCTTTTGCATCCATGTTTGAAGTAACTATTGAACTTACTCAAGTGATCAATCAATCATTTATGTTGTTCATATTGCACTTGTTTATCATCATCAGATATTGGCATACTCAGTTAGCAGTAAAGTTTCAAAATAAACATGATTCATTATAAATTATCTTATCAAAATATTTTATTAAAATCATTTCAAATAAATAACTGAGATAAACATAACCATGAAATTTCAACAACATTCATCAACACTTATATCTAAATCAATTATACTAGTTACATATTAAAATGAAATATCGAGTAATTTCATCTGTTAGTTGCAAATCGACTTTTGGTCCAGCTGAATAATCTGACAGGAGCAAAAAATTCAATAATATATAATTATTTTCAAGAACAAATAATAAACCCATTACCGATAATCTCATCTCTGAGTACATTAGATTTATGCGTGGACGAGTTAAAAACATAAATACATATTGATTAATCATAAGTCTTTAAACATGAAAGTTTAATAAAACAAAACAACTTCAAGAATGAGCTATTCTTTTGTTTTCAATAATGTATTTAATGATTGATGATATATAGTTCACAATATTTGTGAGATCAACGCAATAATAGTGATACTTATTAAAAAATATTTAAACAATCAATAAAAATTCCTTAGTGACTTCTTCAGCAAAAAATGTTTGCAATTGTACAGTAATACAAATGTCAAAACCAATCAATTTTATTATTGAGACATCAAATATACATTGATTAAATAAATCTAGCTATGTGAACAAATTTAAAAAAGACTTGATTAAAAATAAACGAATCATTTATCTATCATCATCATCATCATCGAATAATATAAAAAATTCATTATCAATTCAAGATTCAATAACATTTTCTAATCTACGTACTAGACAGTATTTGTATATAAATGTCTATTATATGGATGTTCAAGTCTATCTATTTCAGTTGAAATTATAATAAAAGATTGATAATTATGCCTACCATATACTATATGAAAACATGATACTAATTTTGTCTCTTCTTGTTTCGAACAAGAATAATCAATCGTATAGTTGATAATATTGTACCATACGATCACTTGAAACTGTCTTCTTTTTTTTTGCACAGTTTACTTTTGAACCTTCTTGATTTCAATGACTCAAACGAACAAAATGCATGCTTGTTGTGATCTTCTGGTATTGTGGGATGCTACATGCACATACCTACTACTATGTTGAAAAAAAAAGCTGAAGCCCAGAATAAGAACGAGAACTATCTTCATTTATTCTATTTATTTCATTTCGCTTGTCTTTTATTCGAATGACAATGCATTCATTTTATTTCTTGTTCTTTCTTTCTTGCTTGATGCAAAGAGAGTTCATCCTCATCACTTCGTCAACAGTTTTGAGACAAAAAAAAAAAAATAAGAAGTTCTTAAAGTAATAATCGAAACGCACATGCTCCTATATTAGTTCACCAAGAAAATATTGTCAACAAAAGGAGTAAAGGACAATATATATATAGGGAGACGACATCGTACGTATTGCATCCATTTATCTACCCATCATGGGCAACCATAAATCGACAACTATCACTACAACCAGCAGTACTGCTGTGCTGCCTCATCGTATTCATCGAATTATACAAAATTTTCTTCTCATCTGGCTTGATGCCAATATTGACGAATCGAAACAAGATTTTAAAAATTCATTAGTACATCTACGACACCTTGTGGCATCAATCACACCATTTACTGATGCACAAGAATGTGTTGAGTTTCTAAGTGACATAAAAAAAGAAAAAGTATTTATGATTGTTTCTGGTTCATTGGGACAACAAATCGTACCAGAAATTCATGCATGGTCACAATTAGATTCCATTTATATTTTTTTTAGTAATCCGTCGCACCATGAACAATGGGTCAAAGCAATGCCAAAAGTAAAGGGTGTTCACAATGATATCAAGCCGATTTATAAAGCATTACCAAGCGATCGTGAACGATGTAATCGAGCTATGATCTCAATCAGTTTTCATGGCATTGATACATTATTTATGTATACGCAATTGTTTAAAGAAGTTCTTTTAGAAATCGATGACGATACTAAATCCATCAAAGAATTCGTTGAGTACTGTCTTCTTCAAGATGATATTGCTAAAGATGAGGTCAAACAGCTCGGACAAAGATATCGTCGTCATACACCCATTTGATGGTATACTGCACCATATTTTATTCATTCGATGCTTAATCGAGGCTTGCGAGTACTTGATGTTGATATTATTCTCAAGATGGGTTTCTTTATTCGACATTTACATCGACATAGGAGTTGTTCAAAAATCATGCATGTATGCATGATTATTGTATGACACGACGACAACGATATACTTGTATATCAGATTCCTCTTCATGCATTCCTGTACATGCTAACAGAACTTTGAATATTTCTGGCAGGATTTCAAAGTCACCCTATGAGCTTGGCTAAAAAGGATCGAAATATAAAGAAGTACAACGCAAGAGCAACGGTTGGCGATGGTATTATCGAATCAACGAAATCAGTCGCATATGCTCACTTATGTACTTAAACATTTCATATTAGTTGTAACAGTAATTCACGATTGTTTTTGACTAATAGTGTATAGCTTTCATTCATGGTCCAGAGCCTCCGCTTTTTGCAGCACAAATCGATTGAAATTCCTTATATCGACTGAAATTATAATCTGCCTCGCCGATTATTTCAGTTGTTATCTAATTTTCATCAAAAAACAAATTGTAATCTTATCAATCAATTAGACAAGGAACCGGTGAATACTAGTAAGGAATGTGTGAGCGAATGCAACATCGTCACTCACGCACACCCTGAAAATAGTATAGTTGTTTATTTTCTAATGGTGATCCTAAATGATAAAAGGCAGTTTCTATTTCTTCAAAACTAATAAATGGTATCCTTAAATTTCACATGCTTTCTTGAATAATATTTTATTGGAGAAATGTATTTCTAATTAAAACCGATTTTATCAAGGTTTTGAAAGTACAAGTAAGGGTTCTGCCACATCAAAGGATTTCGATCATTTCTTTTTTGGCAGCTCATGTAAGTTATTCTTGTTATTGTTGGTGGTGTGGCTGACTGATGAAGATTATAGATCGAGACTTTGACTTGATTCCTAGTGATTGATTTTTGTATTCGGATGATCGTGAAGAACGAGATGATGTATCATCAGGATGACTGAAAGTATCGAATGGATGTACGAGCAGAGGAGAAATAGGCCTATCTTCTTTCAAATGAATACCAGGAAGAAGAATAATTTCATCTTCATTTCCAAAGTATGAATGATCTCAAATGAATTTTGCCTTTTCGATTTCAATCGAGAAGATTGTTCTTGTACCTGTGTCACCGATAAAATTTTTTATTATACTCACGGAATAAGCACAAGAACTGGCATCGTACCAAATAATGTGTTGATCTTTTCCGTATGTGCACTCAAGCCGCTCCCAATTTCATCGAAAAAAGGTGAATCGTAGTTGATTCGTCTCAGGTGAATCCATCAATAAGCTTCTGGCTATTTTGTTTAGCGATGAAAATATATTGGCGAATGTCATCACCGAACAGATTCTTCATAGCCAAAGAGCGGCAGGAGCACTTGTTTCAAATCTTCATACTTGAGTGCCTAAGTAAAATGGAGATGAACTGGCTTACTGCCGAAGTCAACATTAAACATTAATAAAGGATCTTCATATACTATCACAATGCTCAACCTGGTATGAAATCGATTGGGAACCGACAAAGCAACTTTTTCAGGACGAATAGAAAATTCTTCATCGTCAAAATCGATATTATCGTCAAGACATAAGTAAAATGTTGCAGGTTCAGCTTTGTCTGACTATATTTGATAAGACCTAGCCATTCAGAAGTTTAGAAATCTGCACAACATTGACGCGATATTAACGGTATTTCCAATCTAGCTGCATATTGCAATTTCTTTTTGTGGTATTTTGAAACCTGATATTCTGGCGCTATGAAGAAACAACTATTATTAATAAGAGGTTGTCATATGGTACAGATTACTTCTTTATTTACTTACCCATCATTGACACTTCCATCAAGTTTATTTCGAATATTTATCCAAACAAGAATATTTTCTTTCTTTAACTGTTCGGCAACTTCATAGATAAGCTCTTGTGTTTCCGTTCAAGCATAAGACATTATAATGTATTTTTTTTGCATGGGCACATGAACTAATAAAAATAAGTCTTGAAGGTGGGTGGTGTGGATGGACGTGCACGGCTTAGCGTGGAATGTGAGTATGCATGAGGGCCCGTATCTGGATCTGATGCTTCTCTCCATGAACATCCACACCATCAATACCACACTTGCAATGCATGAGCATAACCTTTTAGCTAAAGATTTATTTACACTTTACAAATCCATTGTATTTATTCTAATAATGAACAAATGAAAAATACATGCTAGCCGTACATAAGAAAAAAAAAATGTCTAATTAATCCAATATAAAAAATAGTCTAATTTGTTTTTGTTCCACGACCAATATAATCTAACATAGCTGTACGTAAAAAATGCAATCGTTTTTCTTCCTCTTTTTTCAATCGATTAATTTCTTGTTCACTTTGATTTAGTTTTGTTTGTAAATCAGCTAAACGTGTTTCAAGTTCACGTAGGATATTTCGATCATTATAATTTCGATCTATGGATAAGAAATAAACAATTTCAAAAAAAAACAAAAAAAGAAATAATTTAATTACCTTTTAAATCATTTTCTAATTTTTTTATACGATCTTTTAATTCTTCATTCATTTCAATATCTTTTTGAATGAAACGTAATTTTTTTTCATATTCAGTTCTAAGTTTTTCTCGATTTTCAAGAATTTCTGTATCTTTTCTAAGGTTTACCTATGAAAAATAAAATATCGAATTAAATGATTTAATCAAAAAATAAAATTATACTGCTTGAACTGATTCAATTTGTCGTTTTAATGTTTCAATTTCAACTGATTGAAAATTAATTTTTTGTTGAAGATCTCGATTAGAAATTAATTGTTGATTATAATGAGACTATAAAGATCAAAATACTTCAAATATGAAATATTTATAACTATAATTAAAATTGTTACTTCAAGTTCTTCTTTTGTTGTTATTAATGAACGTAAACGATCTTCAAGTTCATGTTGTTTTTTTTCTTCTTCATTTTTTATGCGAAGTTTTTCTTGTTGTAAAATTTCTTCATGATTTAATTTTTGTGTTGATATAGTCGATTTTAATGAATTGACTTCCTTTTTTTTTACAAAAAAATAGATAAGAAAAATTCATGAATATTCTTACTCGTTCAAGTGTTGTTCGAATATTTTCAAGTTTTGTTATTTGTTCTTTGAGACTTTGGTGTGTTGTTTCATAAGATTCTTTTAAACGTTGAATATCTCGTGTACTTATTAATTCATGATCTTTTAAATCTTCTTTATGTTTTAATTTTAAACGTTGATTTTCATCATCTAAGGATGAAATTTTTAATTGATGATCACGATCATTGATTGTTATCTATTAACATTAGATTGTTCGGAAAATAATTTTCATATAATCAATAATGACTTACAGTTTCTCGAAGTTCATGAATGGTAGTTTGTAGAGTTTCATTTTTTCGTTCAAGATCATGAACTTTTTCGCTTAGACGTCTTTGTTTTTCTAAACTTTCGTTTAAATCTCGTTGAAATTTTTCTTGAATATTAAATAATTGCTAATGAATAGAAAGAAAATTGTTTCGACAAAAATCAATTATATTTTCAATTTTACATCTTTTTCTTGTTGATATTCTCGTCGAATTTGATTTATTAAATGATCTTTTTCAATTTTCATTTTTTTAATTTCATTTTGTGCATCATTATATTGTTGTGTTGCTACAGTTAAGTCTGCATCAAGTAATGCATTTTTTGCTGATATAGCATTAAATGCTAATTTTCTATCATCTAATGCTTCTTGTAGTTTTTTGACTTTTCCAGCTAAAGATCTATCAAAGAAATAAATATTCATTCTTATTATTATTACAACATAAAATAGTTTTGTATCTATATTTACTTATTTGCTTTAAGCATTGCCTGTTCTTGTAATGATACACGTTGAAGTACACTTGTTATTTGTCGATCTTTTTCTGTATGTACATTTTGTAGTTGTCTTGCAAGTACAGCCATATTTTGTGAATGTCCAAAATGTATTTGACGTTTTTCAGTATTTTTTGTCAAAGCATTGTCTAAATTTCAAAATTGAAAATTTACATTAATTATATTTTGAAGATGTGCAAAAAGAAACTAATTACTTACTAATATTTTGCATAATATCATCAGGTACATTATTACCAGTTAATTGTAATTCATTAAGAGTTGAATTTGATTGACATGCAGCTAATAAAGCTCGACTACCAACTAGTCCAATATTATTCCAACGAAGATCTATTATTAATGAAGATTATATCAAAATTTTTTTTCAAAATATTATATATTTTTAATATATACCTAATACACGTAATGTCACATTTCGTTTTAATGCTGCTGCTAATTCAGAACCACCAACATGACTGATATCATTATTACGTAAATCGAGTTCAATTAAACTTTTATTAACACTAAGAGCATCACAGAAACTACTAAAAGCTGGAGAATCCATTGCACCAATTTGATTCCATTCAAGTCGTAAACTAAACAATATATGAAAATCATAAATTGGAAGAACATAGAAAAGATTGCTTTGTCGCTTTAACTTCTAGACACATACAATTTACAGTAATACGTAGTTTCGGTAAGAATTAGCTATCTCATGGATTTAATACTGACGGAAAGCTGTGTAAGATCAGTCACGAATGAGCTACTAATAATATTTTTGATGATAGTTTGAAAATTATTGGAATTCATTTTATAAAATCCTTATATACATAGTTACGCATTGAACTAATAATTTAACTCACTTTTGTAATGTTTGATTTTTTCTTAGTACGCTTGCTAATGCTTCTGTACCAGCTCCATGTATACTATTTCCCTAGATGAATAGAGCAATTTTTTTAATGATAAAAGTAGAACAATAATCGCTTATCATTTACCTTCAATTGTAATGTTCTACATGTTGTATTCGTCACAAGTCCATGAAGAAAAACTTGTAAAGCTGTTGAAAAAAAAATAAAAAAACATCGAATAAATATAAAGGATTAACCAT